GAGTCACTCTGGGAGTACATCAACAGAGCACGATCACGTCTGCTATCAACACTAGTAATGCTTTGTAGATGAATGGTTCAGAGAACCGACATGTTGATAAATTAGACACATGTGCAACTCTTGGGTATCTTTATTGAGGAAACGTTTCGCCACACAGTGGCTTCATCAGTCCATACAAATGAGAATCTTGAAGAACAGGAGGAGAATGAGGTAATCAGTCCCTCAACCTTGAGTCGATGTGGTCAGTCCATCAATCTAGAATAGAATACGGCATACGTGCTGAGAAGGAGCTTATAAACCGTTGGCAGGAGAGGTGCAGAAGTCATAGGTCGTGTAACATTTGTTCAATGTTGAAGTAGGTCGTGCCCAAGAATTAGGCAAGCGAAGAATTCCCAAGTATTAAGATCCCAAGAAGTTGCAGTGTCTGACAGGTTTGTAGATGAATGGTTCAGAGAACCGACATGTTGATAAATTCGACACATGTGCAACTCTTGGGTATCTTTATTGAGGAAACGTTTCGCCACACAGTGGCTTCATCAGTCCATACAAATGAGAATCTTGAAGAACAGGAGGAGAATGAGGTAATCAGTCCCTCAACCTTGAGTCGATGTGGTCAGTCCATCAATCTTTCAAGATTCTCCTTTGTATGGACTGATGAAGCCACTGTGTGGCGAAACGTTTCCTCAATAAAGATACCCAAGAGTTGCACATGTGTCTAATTTATCAACTAGTAATGCTGCTGGTGTTGACACCACCTGTCTGGCTGAGTCAGCTGTCAGTCAGCCATCTGGCTCAGCTGATCGGGACTTCATACCTCTAGATGAAGCTAGTCTTGCTGGGGTGGTACACAAAATGCAGCTGCGCATAACAGTACTGGAGAAGCAACAATGGTGTTTGAAACAACAACTTGAGCACCACGAGGAAAAACTTACAGAGGTTGCAAATGAGTACATCAACCCACAGATTGTCAGCCATTATGAAAATGAGTGTGGTGATGATGAACAAACTGATGATTATAGTGGTGTTAATAATTACAAAAATGATGAATCTGATAGTGGTGTTTACAATCACAGTGAAGATGATAAGGGCAGTGAAGACCATCATGATAGTCAAATTGATGACCTGGAGTTTACCTGGAGAGAGTTCCGGGGGTCAACGCCCCCGCGGCCCGGTCTGTGACCAGGCCTCCTGGTGGATCAGAGCCTGATCAACCAGGCTGTTACTGCTGGCTGCACGCAAACCAACGTACGAGCCACAGCCCGGCTGGTCAGGAACCGACTTTAGGTGCTTGTCCAGTGCCAGCTTGAAGACTGCCAGGGGTCTGTTGGTAATCCCCCTTATGTATGGTGGGAGGCAGTTGAACAGTCTCGGGACCCTGACACTTATTGTATGGTCTCTTAACGTGCTAGTGACACCTCTGCTTTTCATTGGGGGGATGCTGCATCGTCTGCCAAGTCTTTTGCTTTCGTAGTGAGTGATTTTCGTGTGCAAGTTTGGTACTAGTCCCTCTAGGATTTTCCAGGTGTATATAATCATGTATCTCTCCCGCTTGCGTTCCAGGGAATACAGGTTTAGGAACCTCAAGCGCTCCCAGTAATTGAGGTGTTTTATCTCCGTTATGCGCGCGGTGAAGGTTCTCTGTACATTTTCTAGGTCAGCAATTTCACCTGCCTTGAAAGGTGGTGTTAGTGTGCAGCAATATTCCAGCCTAGATAGAACAAGTGACCTGAAGAGTGTCATCATGGGCTTGGCCTCCCTAGTTTTGAAGGTTCTCATTATCCATCCTGTCATTTTTCTAGCAGATGCGATTGATACAATGTTATGGTCCTTGAAGGTGAGATCCTCCGACATGATCACTCCCAGGTCTTTGACGTTGGTGTTTCGCTCTATTTTGTGGCCCCGAATTTGTTTTGTACTCTGATGAATATTTAATTTCCTCGTGTTTACCATATCTGAGTAATTGAAATTTCTCATCGTTGAACTTCATATTGTTTTCTGCAGCCCACTGAAAGATTTGGTTGATGTCCGCCTGGAGCCTTGCAGTGTCTGCAACGGAAGACACTGTCATGCAGATTCGGGTGTCATCTGCAAAGGAAGACACGGTGCTGTGGCTGACATCCTTGTCTATGTCGGATATGAGGATGAGGAACAAGATGGGAGCGAGTACTGTGCCTTGTGGAACAGAGCTTTTCACCGTAGCTGCCTCGGAATTTACTCTGTTGACGACTACTCTCTGTGTTCTGTTAGTGAGGAAATTATAGATCCAGCGACCGACTTTTCCTGTTATTCCTTTAGCACGCATTTTGTGCGCTATTACACCATGGTCACACTTGTCGAAGGCTTTTGCAAAGTCTGTATATATTACATCTGCATTCTTTTTGTCTTCTAGTGCATCTAGGACCTTGTCGTAGTGATCCAATGTTGAGACAGACAGGAGAGACCTGTTCTAAACCCAATGTTGCCCTGGGTTGTGTAACTGATGGGTTTCTAGATGGGTGGTGATCTTGCTTCTTAGGACCCTTTCAAAGATTTTTATGATATGGGATGTTAGTGCTATCGGTCTGTAGTTCTTTGCTATTGCTTTACTGCCCCCTTTGTGGAGAGGGGCTATGTCTGTTGTTTTTAGTAACTGTGGGACGCCCCCCGTGCCCATGCTCCCTCTCCATAGGATGGAAAAGGCTCGTGTTGGGGTTTTTTGCAGTTTTTAAATAAACCCAAAGGAATTCAGGGTTTTGGCCCCTGGGGGCAGAGTTGCAGGGGGAAAGTTTTTTATCCCCCTTTCCCGGAAAGCCCCATTTGGCGTCGGGATAACATCGGTTTGGTTGTTTTTAAACCCAAATTTTCTGGGGGCTCTCTCAAAAAAAAATCTTTTTTTGATCTTCGATTCAGTCCTGGTTAGCGGCTTTCCCTAAAACCCAAAGTCATATTGGGACTTGATTTACTCATCTTTCCCTTGATAAATTAGACACTTTGGGGCAACTTTTTGGGTTTCTTTATTGGGGGAAATTTTTTCGCCCCACAGTGGCTTCATCAGAAATCCCAAAGGAGAATTTTGGGAAGAAAAAGGGAGGAAAAATTTGAGGTAATCAGCCCCTAAACCTTTGAGTCGATGTGGTCAGTCCATTAAATCTTGAATAGAATACGGCATACGTGTGGAGGGGAAACCCTTTAAAAACCCTTTTGGTAGGAGGGGTTTGCAGCATTCATAGGGGGTGTCACATTTTGTTCAATTGGAAGTAGGCCCGTGAAAAAGGGAAAAAAGGAAAAGCGAAGAAATTCCCAAGTTTTAAAGATTCCCAAAAAAGTTGCAGGTCTTAACAGGTTTGTAAAATTAAATGGGTTAGAAAACCGGGACATGTTGATAAATTAGACACATGGGGCCAACTTTTGGGTATCTTTTTACCTGGAGTTTACCGGGAAAGAGGGGGTTCCGGGGGTCAACCCCCCCCGCGGCCCGGTCTGTGCCCGGGCCCTTTCCTGGGGGATCAGGGCCTAAATCAACCAGGCTGTTTACTGGGGGCTGCACGAAAACCCAAGTAGGCCCCACACCCCGGCTGGTCAGGAAACCCGGGAATTTTAGGAGCTTGTCCAGTGCCGTTTAAAGACTGTCAGGGGTTTTGTTGGGTTTAACCCCCCTTATGTTTTGCGGGGTTTTTCATTTAAAAACCGGGTCTGGGGCCCCCTTTGACACTTATTGTATGGTCCCCTTACGTGTTTAGTGACCCCCCCTGTTTTTTTCATTGGGGGGAAATGGTGCACCCGGCCCCTGCCAAGTCTTTTTTTTTTTCTTTGTAAAGGTTTTTTCGTTTTCCCAATTTTCCCGGTACTAGTCCCTCTGGGAAAATTTTTCCGGTGTATAAAAATCATTTTATCCCCTCCCCCCCTTTGCTTTCCCGGGGGAATTTACGGGTTTCCTGAGGAAACGTTTGGGCCCCCCCCAGCCCCCCCCCCCCAACTTCTTGGGATTTTAAATATTAAAAAATTTTCGCTTCCCTTTAATTTTTGGGACGACCCCCTACTTCCACATTGAACAAATGTGACACCACCTTTTGGAGGGTTTCACTCCCCTACCAACGGTTTAAAAGCTCCTTCTCCCCCACGTTGCATATTCTATTCATGATTGATGGCCCTGAAAAATTTCGACCAAAGGTTGAGGGATGATTCCCCCATTTCCTTTCCGGGTTCCCTTCAAGTTTCCCCTTTGTAGGGGACTGTGAAGCCACTGTTGTGGCAAAAACTTTTTCCTCATTGATACCCAAGAGTTGCCCCATGTGCCCTAATTTATCAACATGCGGTTCTCTAAAAACCTTTTAATCTAAAACTCTTTTTCCTTCCCCTGCCCATTTTGTGTGGGGAACCCATTTGTTTAAGTGGGGGGGCCCCAATATTAACGTTGTTCTCGACATTGATTTTGGCCCAAGGAAAAGGAAATATTTTGGGGTTTTTTCTTTCGATTTATATTTTTTGGCTTTTAGTTTTTCCCC